AATACATCAGGATAGTGCCTGATTACTCTAACTTCCTCCACACTGCTAGGAACAACATCATTTAACACCACATGTGCTAGGTATCTTTGACAACCATTTGATAACAACTTATTTGCTCTCATGGCAGAAATAACACCATGTCTCACCCCAATTTTTTTTTTCACCCACAAAAGTAACCTCTGGTAGTCCAGGACTATGAAAAGTAACTGATTTCCAGTAGCACTCTATATTGGCACGATCATAATACAACCAATATGTGCTTAGAATAGCATCGAAATCCACCATATCTAAAGGGATAAGATTCACTGACATAACTATATCTTCCACCATCACCGTACTACTGATAACCCGCTGTCGTCTTGATAAGTAAGTAATGATTCCTGAGGGTGCAATATTAACATCCTGCCATTCCTTGGGAAATATATGTGTACCCTTCTATCGTACTCATTCATTACTTTCTTAGGCAACATCGTCCAAAACATCAAATTTCCGCATCACGACCAATGAACTCTGGCAAGGTGACCAAAATATTTAACATATCCATAATCAAGTCCGAATGACTCAAAGCATCTTGCAGTGATATGTTAACACAACATTGGCTTGTTTTCATCCCTCACGACCTCTAATAGCTTGATTACTTCACCCCCGCACACCACGGCCTATCTGACCATAACTAATGGATCCAGGAACTTGCTGGATGGCATTGGTGGTGGCAAAGAAGACTGTTGGGCATCTACTGATTCTGGGGACAATTTACAGCTCTGTGTCCCATTAGTCCACATGAAAAACATCTGCTGATTTCTCGCCTACACTCTCCAAATTGACTATTATTGTACCTACGGTACAAAGTACGTTTCCTTTACTAATATCTTCCTGCCTCAGGAATCTAGGACCTCCAGTAATTTTTTACCACCTCTCATCTGTTTAGTGGTACTAATTCCTCCTCTGGAAAAACCAAAAATAACTTCACTTCTTCTGAAGTTCTAAGTTTCTCAAGTCCTTGAGATGACTAACCTTTACTTTTGTCATCTTTCCTCTGATTCCCATTCTTTTCCCCTCCTTCATTACTATTGCTGAACATATTCTCAGAGTCTTCAACAAAATTTCGTAAAACTTCGGGTAAGAAACACATTGGGTAATGATCGCCAAAGAACACTACATTTTCTTATTACTCAGCTTAAAATGACGGAACATCTCAACCGGATTAGCAGCAACATCCGAATGGTAACGAGACAAGTCAATAAACCTTCTATAATGCTCATTCGTTGACATCTTTCCTTGTCTCAAATTTGTAAACTCTTAATTCTTATCATCCATACATGCCGAGGAATAAATCTTTTCTTAAACAATTCCTTAAACAACTCTCAATCAACAATTTCCTCTGGCATCAATTAAAAAGCCTCCTGCCTCCACCAGGATGCAGATTCAATACTCAGAAACCAAGTAGTTATCTTGATCCACCTTTCAAAAGGAAGATTCCCTTGACTTTGCATAACGCTTAACGTCTTTTCCAAATAATCGAGCCATCGCTCTGCTCCTTCAGGTCCTTCATTTCCTAAAATGATTCAGTTTCAACTTATAACCATTTTCAAGAGGAGTCCTTAGGGGAGGACAGATAACAAATTGAATCACATTAACAATAGCTTTCTCTAACTGAGTTATATCAGGGAAACTAGGCTCATCTGAACGACGTGACTTTCTACAAGGCGGTATAGTTCTGATAGACGACACTAAGAGAATCCTTAAGATATACAGGACTGCAACCTAAGCTCTGATACCCAACTAACACACCCCGATTCTAGAATCAGGGCGTGCAGGCCGTTACGTGAGCGTGACGTAACCAAAAGTGCGACGCAGAAGCAAAAATGGGTAAAAGAAATACGAAGGAATAAAACCCAATGACTAGCAATAATATCCAACTAACATGCTAGAGTGAGTTTAAGTGTGAAACACACATAATCAGAGCATAAGTACTAGGTGCAGTCAAGTATGACCATTACTAAATTACAACACCTAAAGGTGAGTCCTACATTTAAGTAGGTTGTCAGAACGCCGTGGGAATCCCCGTGAGCCACCAACACTGCTAACTAGAACCTGGAGGGGCGCAAAACAAGATTGAGTGGGTCAGTAAAACAAAGCTTTTTGAAAATATTTCATTTAATAACACTTCTAACCCCTCACTGTAAAACCTGTATACTTTCCCAGAAATAGTATATATATAACCATATATAACAACAAATAACTCAAATCACATGTCTTTAACACCTTTCAAGAAATAAGCCATGCTATGCTTCAAAACATAATAAGGATGCATCAATATAACAGGTGAAATAAGGAATCAACCGGAGACTCTGCAGCTGTCCTATACGGTTAATTCTATAGCTCAATATCTAATCCAACCAGAGTCACCAACTGTGACATGTACGGCGCTACTCTGTACATAAATCGGAACGACCTAAAGTAGTCTGTATGACAAGAATGGTGTAAGAATACGCTCTAGTGCTTCTCTCATCAACAGCTGTATAACAATCTAAAGTCACCTACAAGTCAGAACCACCTCTAATGGTCTGTACGACATGTCGGAACCACCTCTAATGGTTTGTACGACATGCACCTACTTGGATCCAAGGTGAGCGAGTGGTGCGGGGTGAATAATATAAGCACTAACACCAGGGGTGCAGGTTATGAGCTTTCAACACAATTCCCATCATCAATAAATCACATGAACAACATAAAACTCACTTGTGCGTCCACAGCACCATTTCACATATATGCATCAAATACTAGTTCATATATTTCATATAATATGTATGCATGGCATTTTAAAACATACTTTCATTTAAATTCAATTGCTGGGAAAAATCAGTAGTATATAGGTATATACAGAAAATAATTGCCCACTCACCTGTGGTCCGCGCTATGACTCCCTAACATCATAACCAAGACGTCCTGAACGCTCGGTGCCTAAAACAGTTATCAAACCACATCTCAAAACTCTTATCCATAGAATATGTAATTCACATAACACATGTCCTCAACGGCATTCAAGAATAATGCGAGACCAGTTGATCGAAGGTCAACCGTCGACTAAGTTCGACGGTAGGGTCATAACCCCAAATAACTAAATCTGGAAGATCCACAACTCAGATTTTTGATCTGTCACTTCCCAAAACACATTAAGCTTCTAGAACAACATACTAAAATTTCATTACGATACGACGGTTGGATCTCCGCCAATTTCCAAAATTAAGTGGCGGTTAACATTTTATTTTATGAACTTACAAATCCAATTCGAGAAGATCCGTCCATCGAAGTCCTGATCCATAAGTTCCTGCATTCTTCAAATATTATGTACTACTACGTATCAAAGTTTGGTGATGATCCGACGGTTGGATCGTCGATTCATATAATGGCCTATTAACGTATCTTAGAGAATTTTGGCTCTAACAATCAATCTACATAATTCACTTCTCAAAATTGAATTCAAGAAATCACATATAGTCTAAAAATAGCATTGGTGGCCCTCAGGCCACACGCCACCGCACCAGCCGTTGCGTCGCGGGTGGCGGTCGGCCGTCCTGGCTCGCCGGAAAATTCAACTATTTCTAAAAATTACCAAAATTTTCAGATTTGAAGATCTCAATGAGTAGAACAACTTTCATACCTATGACCAATGCCAATTTGGCGTGGAAGCACTTCAATTTCACCAAACTCCGTGCGGACCCTAGAATTTGGTGTGCTTCGATTCGACCTTCAAACTTGTTCCGAAGCCTCCACCACTGCTTGGGCTTTGCTCCTAGGTTCTAGGGAAGTCTAATGGTAGTGGTAATTGAAGGAAAACGTTTCACAAGTGGTGGATTTAGAGCAATTTTCTTCACGGCACCCACTTTCGGTTTTTGAATAAATTACCACCAAATTCCTTCTAATTTTGAGTGGGAATGGAAGAGGGAAGGCTAGGAAGTTGTTTCTAGGTCATGGTTCGAGACAATTCATCAGAAAGTGGCCGGGAAATAGGTGAATTCGGCCTTGGAGCTCGACCGAGTCGCACGAATCAAGAAAAAGATCCCAGGGTTCCCCTCATTTTCCTTTTCCCTCTTATCCCTCCTTCCCCTTTTCTGGTTGGCCATCCTCTCCTTCTCTCTTCTCCTAATTTGCCAGCTCTCTCTCCTTTCTCCCCCTCAGCTCCTGCTCTCTTCCTCTGGTTGGGCAGCTTTGCCCAATCTCTTCTTATTTTTCTTCTACCAGCCACGCACACGCACACACATGTGACCTCCCTTCTTCTTTTTATTTTCTTTCCTTTCCATCCATTTCAACACTTACATACATAACACACCACAACGCTCATAACCGGGGGTAAAATAGTAAATTCACGTCCTTGATAATAAAATAATACATATCTTCGGGACGGGTTGTCACAATTACCCATTTGCAAAGTGGAAGGATACCCAACAATTATCACAGTTACTTTTTAGAAAGAAGATTCCCACTAAGAACTATGAAGGCCCCTAATATAACTTTGCACTCATGACTAGTTAACTGATCCGTAATTAAAATGAGATGAATTGAAATAAGGAGGAATTGAATTAAGGAGAAGTTGGAATGACGTGAAATCTGAATTAGAATATTTGTAATTGTCAAGAATTGATTGGATGTTCTGCTTTTGTTTATCATGTAGACGTCTTTGCTGTACTATTGAAGTTTACCTATGGAAGCGCCAACTCAGTAACACAATGCATTTGCTGAAAATTCATCACTAATTAAACATATTGATGACACATACAAATAGATGAAATCATGTTATAAAAGGAAAGAGGGAAAAAAAATAGCAGAATGCAAACATTAAGGCACATTTAAAAGAAGTGCCTTTTGTACACAGACAGAAGGTAACTTAATATTGACACCCTCAACACCTATACAATAGTAATAATATACAAATTCCATGCTTCCAGAAATGCAAAGTTTCTCAAAACATTGAGAAAACACAATAAATCTCTTAAAAATCATATGTTGGGGGAGCTCCTGAAAGAACCCAGAGCTTTAACAGCTCCTGCTCTCCAGATGTATTGGTGATATAAGGCAGCAATGGCAGCTCCAATAAATGGTCCAACCCAGAAGATCCACTGAATAATTAAACAACAAACATAAGTAAATAATTAGAAAAAATACGAAGAATTAGAACTGGTTATTAACTTTTAATCAAAAATAAAATTAAATAAAAAAGTAGACGACAATAAAGAGTATTAAATTGAGTTATATACATGGTTTATTGTCTATTTAACGTCCGTAAATTTTATTTTTTATTAAAAGTTAGTAACTAAGAGAGTAAGGTGAAAGGCATACTTGGTCATTCCAAGCCTTGTCATTGTTGTAGATCACTGCAGCTCCAAGACTTCTAGCTGGGTTGATGCCAGTGCCAGTGATTGGGATTGTGGCAAGGTGAACAATAAACACAGCAAACCCAATTGGCAGGGGTGCCAATACCTTTAATTAATCAACATAAACAAATCATTAGAGTCAGTAGTTAGAAATTAATAGCAGCAAAATTAATTTATACTTACTGGGACATGGGAGTCTCTTGCATTTCTCTTGGGATCAGTGGCAGAGAAGACAGTGTAGACAAGAACAAAGGTGCCAAGAATCTCAGTACCCAATCCAGTGCCTATGTTGTAGCCATCGGCAAGCTCATTGGCTCCGCCATACTTGGTATAGTAAGAACTGTGGAAAGCTTTCACTAGCCCAACACCATATATGGCTCCAAACGACTGAGCCGCCATGTACAATATGGCTCTCACCAGTGATACTCTCCTTACCAAAAACAGCCCGAATGTGATTGCAGGGTTTATATGCCCCCTACATATAACAATGCACATCTTAGTAAACCATAAGTTGGATGATAACTTGGGAGATGTTTTTGCGAGTAATGGATCTGGTGTTACTAATTCATTTAAATTATAACAAATAATGTGTGATTGGTGCTCTTTAATTATTTAAAACCTGATTATAGTTCATTATCTATATCATTCCGTACTACTTAGACTAAACTCAGGAACTTACATTTAAGTGGATTGGTAGCACTATGTTAGCATGTGACTAACGTTAGAAATTCAAAATTAAAATTTTTGTGTGTAAGTGGCATGGTATTACTAATCTATCTAATGATAACATTATGGGGACAACTTAAAGAGGATTGCCAACACCGCGTTAGCAGTACATGTACGCGATGTTCTAGTTAGACCAAAAAATGACTCATTAAATAAGTTTTACTTAATTCATGAAAATTATTAATGGGGTAGAGAAAGAGAGAATATTTATTTAAGATTGAGATGAAATCCACCAGAGATGCTGTTACAACCCATCCCTGAATTAAAATGTAATTTCATATATCCCTTAAAAAGTTTATAAAAAATGGTTTTTGGGTCTTAAATGGTGTGCCCAAAGGGCCCACCCCTGATATTTGTCCCCTGTCTCCCAAGCTCCCTCTCCATCTCTCTCAGTTCTTTCTTCCCCCTCACTCTCCCTTATCTCTCCATGTCGACAACTCTCTTAACCCTTTCTCCCCCGAGGACCAACCCACACACACCTGTCCACACCCACCTCATCAACGACGACATCATCACCATCACTACCGCGTTAGCTATCTCTTTTTCCCTCTCTTAGTTCGTCTGTGGAGCACAGAGGAACTCCGGCGAGTCCCTCATATTGCCGACGGCTGGTAAGCCTCGGTAACACTCCAAAAACTCTTCCTTCCATCCTTGTAGTTCGTTCTTTGACCATGTTTGTGTGTGGTGGATGTTGAGTCATCGCAGAAACTTTTCGGGAAGGCTTTCCCAGATTCCAACGAGGAACCCTCACGTTCGAGCCAATTTCCAGCCAAACCATAGAGATTTGGCGCGCATGCAAGGTATCAATCTCTTCGCCTCCATGAGTACTACAACTTTCCTTTTTAAATCACCCAATTTCGTTAAGTATTGAAGACGTTATATCCATTTGAATCTTTCCCAGTTTTCGGCGACCTCCAAGGCTTTTGAGGCATTTTCTTGTCAAACTACTACGAGTTAGACGTCATGCAAGGTACCATTCTCTTCATCTCTTCGAGAACTACAACTTTTGTTTTTGAATCACTCGATTTCATTTTTGACAAAGTTATGAATATTTAAAGTTAAGGAACTTTCCGGCCAAATTCTGGCCTTCTTCTTCCTTGGGTCCGGCGACCCATCAAACATAGGCCTTTTGGGCCTTTCCTACCGAGCCCAACCCAAACCCATTTCTTTTATTTATTTATTTATTTTGTTTTAACCTTATTTAGTTTAATAAAAAAGCCTTTGGGCCGTTTTATTTAGGGTCATAGGCCCGTCCTCTCAAGAACCCAAAAACCCTTAGGCTTAAGGCATTTGGGCTGTTGCTGTTGGGGGCCCTAAGCCCAACCCCAACCTTTTTAATTATTTTTGTTTATTAAATTTTTTTTTTTTTTAAAAAACCCCAAGGCCTTCGGGCCATGTTCCATTGGGCCTTAGGCATGTGCCCTCTAAACCCCAAAACCCCTAGGCTTAACCCAACACCCTTAAGACCCAAGTCCAATCCGGCAGAATATTCCCCTGTTGACTTCTATCGACTTCTACGAAATTTAATCAGGACCCTTCTTAGGTTAATTCGACGTCCTAAATTTGTTTCCAACGTCCGTTTTCCCAAATTCAATTGTTATAATAGATTTTTATTAATTGGACCTTTTATGTGCTTAGGGGCAATTATTGTGGCGTTTCCGTCTTCGCTAGTTTACGTGGCTTTTCGGCGGCTAAATATCTATGAGTGGACACTTCTAAACATGCATGTTTTGATAGTAGAAATGCATACATGAAAAGCATGATTTAATGATTATGTTCTATGAAACGCTTTGAGATAACATGCTTATTGAGGCTAGATTAAATTACTACTATTTTTCCTATAACCCGTGTTCTTATAGAATATCTAATGGATGACGATTTGATATTTAGAACATGTTTCGAACACCTCTTTATAGTATAGATGATGGATGACTTTATACTATGAAGTTGTTTTTCAATATATATATGTTCAATGGTTTTGTACTTACCTAGTGGTCTTTTCCGCTACGGGATGTAAGGATAGATTCCGGTTCATTTCGGGCGACGATTTGGTGTTGGCATAGGGCCTGGAGTGTGTTTCCTCTGGCTATTAGCATAAGGACGGGGAGCCGGCATGGGGCCTGAGGGTTATCGAACAATTCACTAGTGATTATTATATATATAAGTTATGATTTAAGACATTGCATGACATGCTAGGTTTCGAAAAACCTATGTTTACCATGATATATGTGTTTTCATAAAACCTGGGGGTTAGTATGTTGATAACTGTTTTTTTTTTATTATTATTATTATTATTATTATTATTATTATTATTATTATATCAAATTGGACCACTCACGTTTGTTTTGTGCCCCCTTCAAGACTTAGAATCAAGGCATACAATCCCGGCGTTCAGGCATTTCCGCATCAGCATCTTCGAGTCCTCTCGGTGTAGGATCCATCCTTTATTTCATTCAATTTTATATTATTTCCTTTAGTGTTCTAGTTAGTTGTATACTCTGAACACGTTCCTTAAATGTGTTGATGCACAAAATCAGTGAGGTTTTTGGTACAACAGAAAGTGTTAAGTTTGTGACCTTCGCAAGATTGCTCTGGTCACTAGTGTGGATAAGTATGTAAATGGATAGGGACAGGGAAGCAAACACAAGATGTACGTGTTTCACCCAGATTGGCTACGTCCATGGAGTAGATGAGTTCTCATTAATTGTGAAGGGTTTACATAAGTACATAGGTTCAAGCTCTCATTTAGTGAGCACTAGTGAATGATTTAGTACAAATGACATTAGGAAATATTGTGGGAGAATTATCTCCTTTTATAGAAGAGAGTTTCTAGCTTTGTTTTGACATTGACACGTGTCGTGTTTTAATTGGCTTCTAATGTCGACATGTGTTGCGATGTGATTAGCCTCCTGGTTAAAGGGAAACTCTTGTGGGTCTTTGACGGTATAACGTTGACTCGTGCTCAGTAGTTTCAGAATTGGTCAAGTATGGTACAAACAGTGATCCCCTAAGTTCCCGAGTGAGGGAAGCTCCTCAGTTGGGGACTTGCAAGATCCAAGTCGTTGAGTAATCACGAAACTTCTAAGTACCGAAGTGTGGTATCGTTTTCACTAGCCTTATCTATCTCACAGGTAGATGTGGCATCTTCTCTAGAACTACTTTTCCTCCATCCAGAGGTGGTATCTTTAACCGGTGGAGATGCACAAGGTAATGTATCAATTTCACTTGAAGCTTACTTGTAGTTTCAGGCTTGGTTAAGCGCGATACAAACAATGTAGTAGGAGTCCCCTAAGTCACCAAGCTAGGAGATCTGCCGAAAAAAGGTGACAAACAAGGTAAGCAATCAGAGCTCCTAGTAATCAGTCCCAAATCAGAAGTTTGATTTCGAGTTCCAGCTGATTGTTCTCATTCTCCCTATCTTACAGGCAGCAGAAAAGATAAAGAGAAGAAAATGGAGAAGTGATGATATAAGATACTTTTGCTTTTGAAGAAGTAACTTTCCACAAGCTTATTCTTGAACTGGGCTGTAGGGTTTTCTGGTTTCCTCCAGAGTATAAGGCCAACTCAAGAATTTGAGGGTCAAAACAAGTCCATCAAATCAAGAGTGTGTTTGACCTTGATGATATGAGATACTTTTGCTGTTGACAAAGTAATAGATGAATCGGCACATGTTCTGTTGCGCTTGTCTCCACATGCTTCCTTGTATCCTTCTCACTTGCCCTATCTGTTCCTCAAGCATGTGTAGTATCTTTTCTGGAAGTATAAGATGTTGAAGATGAGTACTTGAGAGCAATGCCAGGTAAGTACTCAGGCAAGAAGTTCCAGGTAGTCAGTTCCTGACTGGAAGCTTGATTCCAAATGCTGACTGATTGCTCTTTTTCTCATTGTCTTGCAGGTAAGAACAAGGCCAAAGGAAAAGACAGGGAAAAAGCATGATATGGGATACTCTTGCTTTTAACCCTAATGATATGAGATACTCTTGCTTTGGTGTGGCTTGTTTGCAGAGGTATTATCGGGAAAAAAGGAAGCTGAGTATTTTAAAAGGCTTCGTTGGGAGTGCCCTCTCAGATATGAGGAATGGTTGAGCTTTTTTGCAGGTCTGCCTGTCCGTTGAGGTTAGAGGTAGACATATATAGAAGTTTCCCCAACAACAAGTAGTAATGATATTCATGTACCCTTCTTGGTCATAGTAATGTAGTGAGAGCTGCAAGCTTCACGTGTTTTAACTTTGTCAGAGCACTTTGAAAAAGTGGTATGTGGTATCTACAAAGCTGATGTTGTGTGTGAAGATTGCAGACAAGCTTTATCCTAGGAAATATGGCTCTCGAAGTTTGGAGAGCGTGCCTCTTCGGTTTTCGAACAAGAAATCCTGTTGGGGATCTGGCTCTCCAGATTCGGAGAACGGTGCCTCTTTGATTTTTAAGAAAGCAATAATATTGGGAGTTTGGCTCTTGAGATTCGAATAGCGGTGCCTTTTCGATTTTTGAGAAAGTAATCCTGTTGGGAGTATGGCTCTCGAGATTGGAGGGCAGTGCCTCTTCTATTTTTGAGCAAGTAATCCTGTTTGGAGTCTGGCTCTCGAGATTCGGAAAGCGGTGCCTGTTCGATTTTTGAGCAAGCAATGAGTGTTTTCTCAAATGTAAGTAATGGTTGGGCATTTTTGCCAGTCTGCCTTACCAAGAAGCACG